AAAGTAGGAGAGACGAAGCTTAGCCATCCTGGCCTCCAAGGAGCACTCTGGCTGCACTTCTTCCAAAACAGATCTATTGGTTCTTTTGGCAGTCCATGGCACTTTCAGTATTCTCCTCCAACACCACAACTCAAAGGCATCAATTCTTCTACGATCCTCCTTATTCACTGTCCAGCTTTCGCATCCATATGAGGCTATTGAAAACACAATGGCCTGGGTCAGGCGCACCCTAGTTCTCAAGCTGACATCTCTGCTCTTCAATACTTTAAAAAGTTCCTGTGCAGCAGATTTGCCCAGTGCAATACGTCGTATGAACTCTTGACTGCTACTTCCGCGAGTGTTGATAGTTGATCCAAGAAGAATGAAGTCCTTGACAACTTCAATCTTTTCTCCATTGATAAGAATGTTGTTTATTGGTCCAGTGGTGAGGATTTTTGTTTTCTTGACATTGAGATGTAATCCATATCTAAGGCTGTGCTCTTTGATCTTCATAAGTAAATGTTTCAAGTCCTCTTCACTTTCAGCAAGCAAGGTTGTATTATCTGCATATCGCAGGTTGTTAATGAGTCTTCCTCCAATCTTGATGCCACGTTTTTCTTCATAGAACCCAGCTTCTCGTATTATTTGCTCAGCCTACAGGTTTATAAGTATGGTGAAAGAACACAACCTTGTCGCACACCTTTCCCAATTTTAAAACATTCAGTGTTCCCATGTTCTGTTCGAACAACTGCTTCTTGGTCTAGGTACAGATTTCTTAGAAGTACAATTAAGTGTTCTGGAATACTCATACTTCTCAATGTTGTCCATAGCTTGTCATGATCCACACAATCGAAAGCCTTTGCGTAGTCAATAAAGCACAGGTAAACATCCTTCTGATATTCTCTGCTTTCAGCCAAGATCCACTTTGAGGATGAAGGTGTCCCTGCCTCAAGCTATGGTATTTTCAGTCACCTCATATGCATGCAGAAGTTGGAAAATGAGTAAGAAAGTCTGTAGAAGAATCAATGCATTTGAGTTATGGTGTTGGCAAGGAACTGAAAGAATCATGGACTGCCGGAAGAATGAACAAATCTACTTTGGAAGAAATATTGCCAAATTGCTCCTTAGAGGCGAGGGTGGCTAGAGTTGTCTCTCATACTTTGAACACGTTGTTATGAAAGGACAGTCCCTAAAGAAAGACATCATGCTTGGGAAAATGGAAGGTTAACGAAAAAGAGGAAGATCTCCAGTGAGGTGGTTGTGAGGTGGCTGTTTCCTTCTGTTGTGCATGGGGTCATTATAAGTCAGAACTGACTCATGGCACCTAACAACAAGACTGAATATATGGTTTTCTATCTGTCTGAGCCCTGATGTGGTGCTGTAGGATAAGCACTGGAACGTTAGGTCAGTTTAAATCATATGGTTGGAGGTTCAAACTCATTAGCTGCTCCTCAGAAACTCTATACAGGGTATCTCTGAGTCTGAACTGACTCGATGGCACTTAACAACACCAACAGCAGGATAGAACAGAACTGCCCCATAGGGCTCTCTAAGCTGTAAATCTTTACATCTTTCTCCCATGGGATGGCGGGTGATTTCTAACCCTCCAGTCTTTCTGTTATAGTGCTTAACCCCTGTGCCACCAGGGCTCCTTGTATTTAGTCAAGTGTCGTCGAGTCGATTCCGACCCCTTGCGACCCTGTAGAGGGTTTCAGAGGAGCAGCTGGTGAGCTTGAACCACCGACCTTGCAGTTTGATGCATTAACCCACAGAGCCACACCAGGACTCCTGTATTGCATAGAAGATCTAGAAAATGCCCAAATTCTTTCTTCCCACAGGTTCTCAAGGGAGCTGTGTGACCAGAAATGATAGCCGGAATGGGAATTTTTTAGAGCAAAGAAAGAATTCACCAGGATATTTGTGGTGGTACTTTTCTTCTTGTTTCCTGCAAAACATTTGGAAACCTGGATGTTTGCCAGTCAGCTACATGAATTGTGGTATAGCCACACAAAGAAATGCAATGTCATTATTAGAGAGAATAAAGTAGACTTGTTTTATGTATGTATGCTGATATGGAATACTTTCCAAGGTACACTGTTATGTGAAAAAGCAAATGTAATTTTTACAAGCTGAATCAGATATGTGTGCATATATATGTGTATATTTATATATACACACACAGAAAATTTCTAGAAAAAAATATGCCAGAAACTATTAGCAAGGATTTCATTGGAAAGGCCAACTGAGGCCTTGCGGTACAATGGAGTCATGTTCCTTTTTGTGTTCTCCTGTACTGTTTGACTAGCTGATTATGTACACAGGACATTTGTTTTTTTTTTTTTCCAATTAAAAACAAAAAGCTATTTTAGTAACATGTCTTCAAAACAAAACAAAACAAAACAAAAGTTGGTTTGGTACCAGGGCAAAAGGCTATGTGGGGGTCTCTCCCTGCCCTGTTTCTATCTGGGGTCTTTGACTTAGCAAGACAGGAAGTCAGGAGGCTGGGAGAGGTAGCAGGACTGGGCTGGTGAAGGGTAGGTCAAACATGAAGACACACAACCTTTCAAATGGGGTAACCCTGTGCTCTAGACACATGGTCCATTTAGTGTCTAGGACCAATCACATCAGCAGCTTGGCCTTTGGTGGGGAAGAGAAGAGTGGGTGGGACAGAAGGTGGCAGGGCTGGACTAATGGGAAGAATATACAAGTTTGGTGGCATTTAAGAGAAGAATCACAGGGACCAGGAGCTCATCTGTTGGAAAGTAGATTGGACTGACTCTCTAACCAAATACTTGGCAGCTTTTCTGGAGTGAGGTTTGAGTTCTTTCTAGCAGAACTAGAGCTCAGAAGAATATCCCCTGCCCCTGGACCACCCACCTTGTTAGAGACCCAACAATGACATGCTCTCCAAATTGGCCAGGTTCCTAGCAAGACCTGGCCATGGTGTCTGCCTCTGTCCTTAGACTTGTGACCTACCTCTTCATCTTTGGCAATCTCAGGGTCCCCCTACCATCCCCACGTACAGCCTATTGTCCCTGTGGCCCATTCAAAATCTCTTCTTTGCCTTGAAGACATGTCAGAGCACTCTGCTTTGTTTCTTCTTGGAAAATCCTTTCTTCCGTGTACTCCACCCTCCAACTGGAATAC